CCAGCTGAAACATCATGCTAGTAATAAGTTTAGTGCATATATTATTCGCAGTACTTTTTGACACCCTAGTTTGTTGTGCAAATTGACAATTTTCTGTCGTACACTAAATTGTGTGTCGAATTATGAGACTGCATTTTTTCACCAAATTACATGTACTCCCGACTTTCCCGCGTTATATGCTCTGGGTGTCTGGACACACTACTGGGACACACACAAACGTAACATTTTATGTAAATGAGTTGAGTACAGACAGTTATACATTGTATCAAACATGTTTAGGCTACAGTTATGATGTTTTGAATAGTAGTGATAAAATCACTGGCAATTTCATTAGGTACTTGCTCTGATGTATCAACATTTACCACAATCTGATTGTCCAATGTTTAGTGAAAACGATTGTAATAACTAACTTGACCCATTAGGTCAAAGGACGCTGCTGTAGGTCAAATCTGCAATTGCATCATGGCGAAAAGTGATTTTCATCGAGAGTTTGCGTACGATCCAACAACTTCGTCAGTGGAAATAATATGACAATTTTGACTTCGACTGTGTTCCAACAGACTCAAATGTTTTTAATTCCGTAAATTATGGTGGTACGTAATTAATATTGTAATAAAATGTGCGTATTTTTTGTGATCATTTCTGTTTCTTCATTGTGAAAATCAATGACGACGCAACTAATTTAGTAATTTGATTTTCCCTCAAAGACGTAATCTGTCACTTGATGAATCAAAATTTTCATTTGCACTCTTTTTCGAGGGGGGTGCTCGGGTAAGCGCCCACCCCTACAAAATCGTGATTTTCTGAGTTGAGGCCCCTGGGCGCTAACGCGGTCGAGTACGGTATATTTATTATTTTTTTACTTCCTGTACTACCTTGTACATTGCAAATACATGTATTTATGTTCCTTTACTATTAGCCTGTACATTGCAAGTATGCCGTAATTATATTTAGTAATTAACGATGTTGGTTGCATGAATCGGCAACAAATATCTATTTTGTTGATATGGTTCCGTATATAGAGCTAGAATGAGGGAATGCCTAGCAATGGTGTTAATAGTGTAGTCACATCTCGTGGAAAGAACAAAGGAATGCCAGCACAAGTGTTACATGTAGCAGTTAAAATATTTACTCACACACTGCCGATTAACAGAAAAAACTATGCATGTGTTAAGGACAGCGTACAAGTACCGGTAGTTACATTACCATGCTTCCCATTGGATATACTTATATGATAATTGTACCTTGTGTTAACTTTATGTATACTTTATACACTGTGCATGTATGTTATTAAATATATCAGTATCATCGTTTTGCAAAATTAATTGAACATATAATACTAGTATAGGAGTAATTTTCCCCATCACCAAAAAAACAAAGAAATGTCTTCGTCTCGTTTCTTTCAGAACTATTACTTTTGGAATCGTTGCCTTTTGAGCAACAATGCAGTGAGGAAGATATTGATCTTATCAAGTTTTTATATAAAAATAAGCTGAACAAGGTAAGAGTCTGTCACCAATGTCTTGAACTGAATCATGAAATGAAGGTCTACATACTAGTACATGTATTCTTGTTTGGAAATCAGAGATGGTGGACTGGCAGCCATATTTAGTTTTTAAAGACATATCCTCCATCACATGAAAATGACAATGCAGAGCTATATTAATAATTGTCTAATGATTATCCTTTTTCTTTACATTTTCAACTTCTTTTTCAAAAGTCAAATTGCTTCCATATTTACTATCAAACATATTTTGGCTGTGGGGTGAAATCGGTGCCAAAATTAATAATTCTATCTTTGTGTGGTCATGTTTATATTATTATATTTGTTGTGATCAGTTTATCTTTTATATTATTGTATGTGTATATTATTATTAGTCCCTGTTCGAATGCAGTCCAAAAGTGGGACTTATGGATTGACCTCTGTTTGTGCGTGCATGCGTGTGTGCATCCGGACCTGTATCTGACTGATTACTTCACACATACATTATACATATGCACATCGGCAGCCATTTTTGTGTTGAAAATCATCAAAATTAAGCATTTCTGTCATTCCTGAACCAGATCTCGGCTGTTTTGTTTAAACTGTCATTTAAACGACTGGCAGCCATTTTGTTTTAGTGAATGTAGTTCTTGTGCCATACATGTATCTCTGAGATGCTTTCACTGATTATATTCAAATTTTGTATATTTATTATACATCATGTCATAGATATACAGATTTATTGGTTTGACAATCTGACTCAAAATGGTCAAATGGGGCCATTTTTGTGCCGAAAAATCATTGAAATGAAGCATTTCTGGCATTCTGGGGCCAAATCTTGGATGTTTACAGATGGATTTTGTTGAAACTTGGTACATACATTGGACATTATTGGACCTTGATGCACATCATATTTTCCTCAGATGTGATTTAAAAAGGCCGACATGCGACCAAATTGTTTTAATGAATGCAGTTCTAGTGCCATATCTCTGACATGCTTTGATTCATTATGTTCAAATTTTATATATTCATTATACATCATGTCATAGATATAAAGATGTATTGTTTTGATTATCTTATTCAAAATGGCCACCTATTGCTTTAATTAAAGGGGAGCAGATGTCTGGTTTTTGTCACTGTACATGAAATTTGAGATCTATGAATTAATTCTGGCGCTGAACACAATTTGTATGTACTGCGAAATGCCCTAAATACTGAGTATAAAACAGGCTGTGAAGTAGCCCCTCGGGGACACTGAGTGATCACGTCACTGACTCTTCATGATGTGTTTGTATAATTATTGCCGCTTGCTTTAAGAAGAAAACATGGAGAAGTCATGGAATTAAATAAAGAGCTCTATGCATGGATGAGTGAAAGACATTATTCCTAAGCCTAACATAACATTACACCTTTTCGTGTATTTGTTAATTTTTGTATGTTTGGTATTATAGTAAGTTTGTAAATATATAATTCGATAATAATTCCAATTGTTTGAAATGCCTATCAACCGTGTCCCGGTAATAATTTGTTTGGAATATCTATTGTCAATGGTTTCTTCATGCTGAGTTTAGGATGCATCGGTGTCGAGGTCTGTCAATCAAGCCGTAATTCATGGGAATTATGTTTAGTGATTTGAGGCCTGAAAATCCAAATAATTAACCAAATTTTATTATTATAATATATATTTGTTATTTTTCGTCAAACTATAAAATAACTAGTTGTCGGGTGAATCAGTCAATTCCAACTATTCATTTCTTACCTTGAAATGAAATGAAAAAAAAAAAAAAAAAATTCGAAGAGTGTCGCTAGCTTTATTTTAATCAAACCCTTTTTCCGAAATTTGTTGGCAATTTGTTGCTAAAAATGGTTGAAAATGTGGGTGTGGTTCTCTCACAAAATCCTGTAGATGATACAGACATATATGGTTCTGTGACCCAGGTCGTGCTTCGATCAGGTGACTTTCAGCCAATCAATTATGTTGTAGCAAAGTGTTTTTGATGGCAATTGAAAGGTTAGTGCGCCATCCAATCACCGGTGACAATTCACATACTTTTGTTCTTGAAACATCCAAATTAACCCATCAGATCATGAAATCAATGAACATTGTTTAACTGTTTTCAATAATTTACAGTGTCTATTGTGAATGGGTAAACTGCAACTCAGCATGATCAATTTGCGAATCACCAGTTTTTAAAAAAATCCTGCCAATTGTTGTGTGTTAAAATCAGTGACAAGAAGTTATTTTTAAACATGATTGCTTTGTAAAAAATGCCATTATCAATATTTGGACTAAAAGCGAAATGCACATCTTCCTTTTATCTTTAGTATTAAAATGTGTATATCCAATTGAATGAATTTATGGGTTACATTTTTTTTTCAATTCATGCAAAATAATTAGTAATTATTTTTTTCTTTCGATAAAATAATTTTTAAACAAAATGTTATACAGCGACTTTTCAAATTGCATAAACAGTGCAGAATGTGTTAATTGTTTTAGTCTCCGTTGGATGTAGTCTGAAATGGAGACTAATGTTTTGGGTTTCGTCTGTGTGTTCGTCCGTCGTTATTTCTCAGAGACGCTTGGACAGATTTTCTTCCAAGCTGGTACAAGCACAAGTCATAATGGGTGACGTGTGCACATCAATTTATTTTTTTGATTTGGTTGACCTTTGGCCGACTGGCGACCATTTTTATCTTAAAAAACACCAAAAATCCACATTTGGACAAGTCATCAACCATTTCTCAGACATGCCTTGACTGATTTCATTCCAACTTAGCATTGACATTGGTCATGGTAAGTTACTGATGCACGTCATTTTTTGTGTGTGATTTGATTCAAAATGGCAGACTTTTTGTTTTTTACGAGTGTTTTACTCATTTTACAGAGATGATTGTACAGATTTGGGTTAAATTTTGTACAAAGGCAAGATATAACAAGTTAAATGTTGTTTTCAGTTAGTTTTTCGTTTTCACCAAAATTTAGTCGAATGGCAGCCATTTTCCCCAAAAATGAATAAAATCACAAAATTCAAACATGTCAACATGTCATCAACAGTTTCTTGGACATGCCTTAACCTGTGCAGTGATTGACTTTCACTACCATCAGTAAAGGCTACTTTGGCTGATTTTGCATGTCTACTATTTCACACTTGTATTTAAGGCAATAAACCATCGCCAAGGTGGGAAAACAACGAAACTTTGCACAATCCTTGACAGTGATAGTGTGCATGGAGCTGCTTGTACAACAAAATAGGTTGTATACCTGACTTTGGGGGTTGCCTGTGACAATAATGATTGCATTATTCAATGGTACCATCATCAGTGCGTGGGTTTGACGCTCGAAACTGTTTGAAATTTTCGACCACTGGGCATTGGCGAACACCACCAGAAAAGATAGTATCGATAGAAAGGCATATCTAGACACTTTCTCTGCGATAATATTTTTAGGAGTTAAAAATCGGCGAGGGTATATCATATTTCGCTAACTCGTTACTTGTGTAAACAATCGCAAACTATCGACATCAAAGATGAACTAGACAATAGTGGTGTACTCACTAGCTGAAATAACGCCTTTTATTTGAGAACGTTGTTAAAATGTGTGTGTGAACAAAATACGTCGTTGTGGCGCTGGCGTTTTTGACACTGTCCTAAAAGGGGTGGACCAGATCCTAAACACCGTTGTCACACCGGCTCTTGCACAATGGAATGTACACACACAATGTGCCATTTGAACGCAATACGACATCCAAACGCCCTCTATCGCTGACTTATTTTGACATTACTTGCTTGACATAACATCAGTGGTCACAAGTCGAATGTCAAACTGGTCAGACAAAGAAACTAGATTACTGATATCTGTTTGGAGAGAATCCTATTTTTTCCCACCAGTTATTTTCTTGTTGTCGAGTCCGAATCGCTTGGGTTGCTGGGTCTATTGTTGCGTTATTCATACACGCGAATAGCATGAACATTACTTGATCATTTCTCGGTCTTGTTCGACCCATGGACCTAATAAGTTCTTGCTATTCGAAGTCTTGATTAATCGATCATCATTACCTTCTTCTCAAGCAGAAAAACAGAAACTAAGCAAATGCATTTACCAGAGGGGACGCAATGTTGTCGATTGACCTTTCCATTTCTTTATTGACCTTTCCGTGATATGATTCGTTGTGGACTCAAAACACCAGTGTTTTTACTAAGTGAGAATGCAAGCAGACAATTCAGCGTTTTTTAGACGTGTGGGAACGTAGCTATAGTCTTATCAGGATTAATTTGGGTTGAAACAAAAGGAAATAAGCCAGTTAAGAGGCTTAAGTGGCAAGTTGAGAGGCATCGTGGCTCCTTCCGTTAGTACCTTCCATAGAATGACGTACTTCAGCCATTTACAGCCAATTTACACATAATCAGAAACTCAAACATATCCATCTTTTAAAAGTATCATTCTATTTATAGTTATATAATTTGGGCAACAGATAGAGAGGCACTTTATATCATCTTTTCTGTAACTTGATATCCACAGTCAAGAATCCCACTAAATGAAAAATAAATTTATTACGTGCAAGTTTCAAGTTATTATATGTCATTGTTTGCGTGATCAGAAACTAGATCTGCATCCTGTTAGTTCATTTAATTGGGATCATATTGCTCATTTTAAAAAAAAATTAGAGAAATCTGAGTGTGCAATGTTAAGAAAAATGCGTAAATAGGGTTAATATTTATGATTTTCTTGTGAAACTCTTATTTCAAACCAATTATATTTATTTAAACAGCTGGTGTCATTTTACTTTGCCTGTGGTTTGTCAACAAAATATAGTATATAGGTAGAGATGGAATCAAACAGTTTTAATGCATTCCAGGCACATACTAGTAATTCCCAATTTTACAAATATTCCAACATGGCAACATGTATTATTATAATACTTAAAAAAGCATCCAGTATGCACTTTGATCATGTCAAATATATATTGCTAGCGAAACTGTTCAGAGGCAAAAGATTTTAATTTCATGCCATGTTTTACAAATTTTCAAAAATTGTAGTGACCTTTTTCTGTTGATTATGTACCTGATTTATTAGTTCAAGTTCAAGGGCATCCCATGTTTGCTATGTCTGTTCATGTCTGATAGTTATATACTAGATACAATCAGGAAACATTGGATATTATGTAAGTAAAGGAAAGCTAAAGTCAGTTGACATGGCAAAAAAATTCCTCAAAATTGGAACCCTTTGATGGCATGCAAACAAGAAAGGAAATTTTGCTGTGGGTGGGTTGAAGTCCCAGAAGCCGCAACTGTTGGTATTTCTTCAGTTTTGTTATTGTTTTGAAGAAAATAGTTCCTACTGAATACTGCAAACTATAGTCTATCAAACTGTTGATAATGAGAATAACATAGTTTGAAGATTAGTAAAGGTCTGACAAGAATACATGTATATAAATTATGTAAATATCTGCAAGCCAGAATAGCCATCTGTTTATGAGTGAAGCTATGCATTGCTGTAGCGACTCTTAAAGTTCCTGTGCAATGCCCACCCTCACGTTTCCCATCTGTGTCCCACTGAAAAGGGTAGTTATTGATTTTTTTGCTGAAAATGATTACTCGTATCCAAGTAAATTTGGGATATTTCTCGTGTTGTAGCCACGCCCACCTATCGTGAAATGGTCAACTGTTTCCGGATTTCCGACTCTCGCCGAAAGTGCGCCACCAAATGGCAAAATGTGAGAGGAAGTCATACCCCTGAGCCGTAATAACTCTGGTCGTTCAGTATACTTTTAAACGATATACATTTTTCGGTCGGCGTTTTTTCTTTTTTTTTTGTCTATTTGTTGTTTTTTTTTGAGAGAGAGGTTTTAGATGTTGTGTTGTGGGCAGTTGCAGTGAAACGTATAGCCATAGTGTATGTATTCACACGTTTCTAATCGATCCGAAGGTGCAACATCACTTAACCTTAGATTCATTCAACTGTCCTTGTCCATAAAAAAATGACTAGATTTAAAGAGAAACGCCGACAACGTAAACTTGGCGCAACACTTTAAAAGAAATAGATTCCGGACCAGCCCATGATCAGCGAGGCGGATTTCAGAAGAGAGAGAGACGTCCGGCAATGTTTCAAATCATTGACGTTTTCTGCGATCCTGATTATCGTTTTATAGAGACCATTTAATCCCTGTTAAGTAAAAGGTAGCAACAATTTTGACAGTGACACGAAAACGAAGCGTCGACAAACAGGAAATTACACAGCCCTTACACACTGCTAACTGTTTTCATTTTCGAAAGGCTAAAAGTTT